TCTCGGGCACATATGGAAACTCTCTGTCTTAGGCAAATACGAAACTCTCTGTCTGGGACACAGCACATATTATGATTCTCTATCGTCGTATAAAATTGATAACCATCTGTCTAGGGCCACATGTTATAATAACCCTCGAGCCAGGTGCTCTTGATCTGCACTTTTTCCGATGCAATCAGCCTAGGAAAACGGACTGGCTCTTGTAACGAGCGTTAACTAGAAGGTGATATCAATTCAGCTGAGGCATTAATAGGTTTGGGTGCGAGTGTTCAGTGGAGTTTAAATCACCACAGTCAAAGCAGAAAGAGAATTATCGAATTCCGGGGGCTGCGAGCGCTGAAATCAATTAGAGGCAATGCGTGGTCGATATGAAGTGACAGGGAGACTCGGCTCGTTGACACCTGTCGATACTGCAGATAGCTTAGAACTCCATTACCGCAGAGGTAACTTTCCGTACCTCGCTCTTTATTAACGCCTCACCGTAATCTGCCTCTTGTTGTAGTCATTCCACCTGTCCATTGCCGTATGCTGGGTGACCTGTCCCTTCTAGTATTGTGACCTGTCAATACTGCGGGAGCTTAGAGTGAGTGAGTGAATGAGTGAGTTGGGTTTAACGCCGCTTTTAACAATATTCCAGTTATATCCGGCGTGTCAGGATGATGTGGGAGGAAAGCTCCAAGTGATGCAGGTCTCAGACGTTCACCACTTCGGTGAGACTCACGATCAGGGTATTGTGCTGACAAACCTAGAAACATAATCGGGGCGAACCGGGATTCGAACCAACAATCATAATCTGGCGTGCCCGAGGGACGCAACTCTGCAGAGCGAATCGCGGCGCCTTAGAAGACTGGGCCACCCGAGCCCCCTAGGGGAGCTTAGAATCTCCATTACCGGTATAAGTTCCTTATTATTGTCTCATCTTGGGTGATTATTCTTGTCCAGTACAGTATTCTGACCTGTCTCTAACGGTATTGTGATCCATCTTTTACCTCTGCCTTGCGACCCGTGAACATCCGGGTAGTAATAGGTCTTCAGGAACCCATGCCTGCCGTAACACTCGACTATGATAGTCGTCAGACTCGACTAACGGGATCGGGTGGTGAGGCTCACTGACTTGGTTGATAAATGTCATGATGCCCAGTTACGTGGATCGATGCTCATGATATCAATCGCTGTCTGGTGCAGATTCGATTATTTACAGACCACCGTAATATAGCTGAAATATTGCTGAGTGCGGCGTTAACCAACCAACCTCTGTCTTGCATATTGTGACCTACCCTTGCCGTGTTGTGATATATGCCTCCGTCCAGCGTACAGTGACCTGTCCATTACCCTCTCTTAAGGTTTGTTGGGGCGGTCGGGTAGCCTAGTGGTTAAAGCGTTCGTTCGTGACGCCAATGACCCGGGTTCGATTCCCGACATGAGTACAATGTGTGAAGCCCATTTCTGGTGTCCCCCGCCGTGATATTGCTGGAATATTGCTAAAAAGGCGTAAAACCATACTCACTCACTTACAGTTTGTTCTGTGTTTATTGTCGGTATAGTGTGTGCAGTATTTAATGATATGAACCTCTGTCTTGAGGAACCTGAGGCAACCCTCTGTCTCGGGCACATGCGATTACCCCGTTTTTTTGTGTGTGGCGCATGCAATAACCCTCTTTCTTTGTCTCGGGTGCATACGGAACCCTTTGATAGTCACTTGCCCATGTGGTTCATGATGGGGCAGGACCGAGGCCCTAGAAATCTATTCAGTATCTATTCAGTGTTTATATTGTCATTACACTGTGTGCTGTATCTATTCAATGCCTATATTGTCAGTACATTGTGTGCTGTATATATTCAATGTCTATAGAGTCAGTACATTGTGTGTTGTATATATTCAATGTCTATAGTGTCAGTACATTGTGTACTGTATATATTCAGTGTCTATAGTGTCAGTACACTGCGTGCTGTATCTATTCAATGTCTATAGTGTCAGTACACTGTGTGCTGTATATATTCAATGTCTATAGTGTCAGTACACTGTGTGCTGTATATATTCAGTGTCTATAGTATCAGTACACTGTGTGCTGTATCTATTCAATGTCAATAGTGTCAGTACACTGTGTGCTGTATCTATTCAATGCCTATAGTGTCAGTACACTGTGTGCTGTATCTATTCAATGTCTATAGTGTCAGTACACTGTGTGCTGTATCTATTCAATGTCTATAGTGTCAGTACATTGTGTGCTGTATCTATTCAATGTCTATATTGTCAGTACACTGTGTACTGTATCTATTCAATGTTACTATTGTCAGTACACTGTGTGATGTATCTATTCAATGTCTATAGTGTCAGTACACTGTGTGCTGTATCTATTCAATGTCTATATTGTCAGTACACTGTGTGCTGTATATATTCAATGTCTATACTGCAGTACATTGTGTGCTGTATCTATTCAATGTCTATAGTGTCAGTACACTGTGTGCTGTATATATTCAATGTCTATAGTGTCAGTACATTGTGTGCTGTATATATTCAATGTCTATAGTGTCAGTACATTGTGTGCTGTATATATTCAATGTCAATAGTGTCAGTACACTGTGTGCTGTATCTATTCAATGTCTATAGTGTCAGTACATTGTGTACTGTATCTATTCAATGTCTATAGTGTCAGTACATTGTGTGCTGTATCTATTCAATGTTCATATTGTCAGTACATTGTGTGCTGTATATATAGTCAATGTCTATAGTGTCAGTACATTGTGTGCTGTATCTATTCAATGTCTATAGTGTCAGTACATTGTGCGCTGTATCTATTCAATGTCTATAGTGTCAGTACACTGTGAACTGTATTCATTCAGTGTTTATATTGTCAGTACATTGTGTACTGTACTTATTCAGTGTTTATATTGCCATTACACTGTTTACTGTATTCATTCAGTGTTTATATTGTCAATACACTGTGTACTGTATTTATTCAGTGTTTATATTGTCAGTACACTGTGTGCTGTATCTATTCAGTGTTTATATTGTCAGTACATTGTGTGCTGTATAAATATTCAGTGTTTATATTGTCAGTACACTGTGTACTGTATCAGTGTTTATATTGTCAATACACTGTGTGCGATATATATTCAATGTTTATATTGTCAGTACACTGTGTGCTATATATATTCAATGTTTATATTGTCAGTAGACTGTGTGCTGTATATATTCAATGTTTATATTGTCAGTACACGGTGTGCCGTATATATTCAATGTTTATATTGTCAGTACACTGTGTGCTATATATATTCAATGTTTATATTGTCAGTACACTGTGTGCTGTATAAATTCAATGTTTATATTGTCAGTACATTGTGTGCTGTATATATTTAATGTTTATATTGTCAGTACACTGTGTGCTGTATCTGTTTAATGTTTATATTGTCATTACACTGTGTGCTGTATCTATTCAGTGTTTATATTGTCAGTACATTGTGTGCTGTATAAATATTCAGTGTTTATATTGTCAGTACACTGTGTACTGTATCAGTGTTTATATTGTCAGTACACTGTGTACTGTGTCAGTGTTTATATTGTCAGTACACTGTGTACTGTATTAATTCAGTGTTTAAATTGTCAGTACATTGTGTGCTGTATATATTCAATGTTTATATTGTCAGTACACTGTATGCTGTATATATATTTAATGTTTATATTGTCAGTACATTGTGTGCTGTATATATTCAATGTTTATATTGTCAGTACACTGTATGCTGTATATATATTTAATGTTTATATTGTCAGTACATTGTGCGCTGTATCTATTCAATGTTTATATTGTCAGTACACTGTGTACTGTATTTATTCGGTGTTTATATTGTCAGTACATTGTGTACTGTATTTATTCAGTTTTTATATTGTCAGTGCATTGTGTACTGTATTTAATCAGTGTTTATATTGTCAGTACACTGTGTACTGTATTTATTCAGTGTTTATATTGTCAGTACATTGTGTACTTTATTTATTCAGTGTTTATATTGTCAGTGCATTGTGTACTTTATTTATTCAATGTTTATATTGTCAGTTCATTATGTACTGTATTTATTCAATGTTTATATTGTCAGTGCATTGTGTACTGTATTAATTCAATGTTTATATTGTCAGTACAGTGTGTACTGTATTTATTCAATGTTTATATTGTCAGTGCATTGTGTACTGTATTTATTCAGTGTTTATATTGTCAGTGCACTGTGCACTGTATTTATTCAATGTTTATATTGTCAGTACAGTGTGTGCTGTATTTATTCAGTGTTTATATTGTCAGTACACTGTGTGGTGTATTTATTCAGTGTTTATATTGTCATTACACTGTGTGGTGTATTTATTCAGTGTTCATATTGTCATTACACTGTGTACGGTATTTATTCAATGTTTATATTGTCAGTACACTCCACTCACTAAGCATCATGCTTCCTCTACAGTCGACTCTCACTGCCACACTGTCGGACAGGGTATAATAGATGACAAGAACGGTAGTTATTCACGTGACATGTTTATTGCTAGATGTAGGGTATGTGCAAAAATGTTCAACTCTGTGAACAGGGTAGAAGACCAGAGCGGGGCGCGGCATTGGTTCGAAAGGGGGAGTGGTGTTATAGTGGAGTAGTGAGCAGGGTAGTGGTCGGGGTGAGAGATAGAGTTCAGGAGAATGGGCGGGGCGAGGTTGTTGTTCAGGATAGCGGGCGGGGTGAGGGTGTTGTTCAGGATAGTAGGGCGGGGTGAGTGATGATGGTTCAGGATAGTGGGCGGGGTAAGTGCGTGTTCTTCAGGATAGTGAGCAGAGTGAGGTTGTTGTTCAGGATAGTGGGCGGAGCGAGGGTGTTGTTCAGGATAGTGAGCAGAGTGAGGGTGTTGTTCAGGATAGTGGTCGGGGTGAGAGATGTTGTTCAGGATAGTGGACGGGGTGGGAGATGTTGTTCAGGATAGTGGTCGGGGTGAGAGATGTTGTTCAGGATAGTGGTCGGGGTTAGAGATGTTGTTCAGGATAGTGGACGGGGTGGGAGATGTTGTTCAGGATAGTGGACGGGGTGAGAGATGTTGTTCAGGATAGTGGGCGGGGTGAGAGATGTTGTTCAGGATAGTGGACGGGGTGAGAGATGTTGTTCTGGATAGTGGGCGGAGCGAGGGTGTTTGTTCAGGATAGTGAGCAGAGTGAGGGTGTTGTTCAGGATAGTGGTCGGGGTGAGAGATGTTGTTCAGGATAGTGGACGGGGTGGGAGATGTTGTTCAGGATAGTGGTCGGGGTGAGAGATGTTGTTCAGGATAGTGGTCGGGGTTAGAGATGTTGTTCAGGATAGTGGACGGGGTGGGAGATGTTGTTCAGGATAGTGGGCGGGGTGAGAGATGTTGTTCAGGATAGTGGGCGGGGTAAGAGATGTTGTTCAGGATAGTGGACGGGGTGAGAGATGTTGTTCAGGATAGTGGGCGGGGCTAGAGATGTTGTTCAGGATAGTGGGCGGGGTTAGAGATGTTGTTCAGGATAGTGGGCGGGGTGAGAGATGTTGTTCAGGATAGTGGACGGGGTGAGAGATGTTGTTCAGGATAGTGGACGGGGTGAGAGATGTTGTTCAGGATAGTGGGCGGGGTGAGAGATGTTGTTCAGGATAGTGGGCGAGGTGAGAGATGTTGTTCAGGATAGTGGGCGGGGTGAGAGATGTTGTTCAGGATAGTGGGCGGGGTGAGAGATGTTCAGGATAGAGAGATATGTGAGAAGACAGGGGACGTTCAGAACAGAAGACTGAAAACGACGAAGGTGGGAATGTGGCAGGGATATGGCTGATGGTGCACAGATAAGAGGGTCTGTGTTGAGTGAACAAGTTGAATGAGAGGAGTTATTGCAGGCGGAGTCGTCCTATTGCACGAGTTCCCGGGAGGGGGCTATAGTGGCGATATCTAAGGTGATTCTGTCCAATTGGGTCAGATCTGCAGGAATAACTGTACTAATCAACTCCGATGTGATGGACAATCACAAAACCGAGGGCAGTCATCATGTCAGCGCCGGCGTGTCCCCACGAGGGTCATCAACTGTGCTACAACGCGGCCGCCACAGCATTTCATCAGCGAGTGAAATAATGTGAAAATATGGTGCCAGTTAATGCGACAAGATCAGTCCGTGTCGCCCTCTTGCGGATGTTTGAAGAGTCTCACTACCAGACACGAGGTCGCATTAAACACTACTGACAGGGGCAGCTAACTCTGAGTCTACATCAAAAGAATGTTCACAGCACTAGGTTTTCAAAAATGCACAAACGCAAAGGTGGGAGTAGTCTTATCTGAAGCCTATCTGTCCACGCCTACCTACACCTGGTGACAGCGTTCAACCCACACAGGGAGCTAGTACATGGAGTTCCCATCAGATACAGATGAAGGTACATCCATTGGTTGGGTGAATCAGGATATAGGACTACCTATCTTAGCGTTAAAGCTGCTTCTTTCCGAAAGGATCGGGAGGAAGTCCTTGAAATGCACGTGTCAGCGCATGCGCGGAGTAGTACATGCCAACAGTTCCACAAAGAACACCTAGTATAATAATAGTCACATCCAACGCACGGTCAACCCGCGACAAAGTCGTCCATTTTATTTTGAGATGAAAGTAGCAGGGCCACACGAAGGACAGCATGGTTCCCGTGAAGCTCCCGATCAGGCCCATGAGGAGGGCGAAGTGTGGGATGAAGATGGCGAGCACTGTCGTCACCAGGACCAGACCAAGCCGGAGACCCAGGGCCCACACCTTCAGCTGAAAGTTGTCGTCGATGCACGGCGAGAAGGGCGTGGTCGACTTGCCTTGGAACATGGACGTCTGGATAAGATCGACGGCTGCAAAGTATGGTAGGGGGTACGATAACATCGCCTTCGCCACGAGGATGAGGTTGACCACGATCTTGAAGGACTGGGTGGGAAGGTTGTTGGTGATGACTTCTTTGGTGGCAAAGCCCCACGTCAAGAATCCGACGTAGGAAAATATGACTTTAAAGATGGCCGCTGCCACGTGGGTCCAGTGCATCATGCAGCTAAACTTGGATCTGTCCGTCAGGTTGCCTTCCAGCGTCGGGAGGAATATTTGTGAGGTGTAACTAAAGACGACCACGCCAAGAGAAATGGGGAAGGTCCAGATATCGATACGAACCTGGACATCGCTCCAGCGCCACTCGCGGACCCGCGTCAAGCAGTACAACAGGATCATAGCATTGATGAGCATATGGGCCACGGAGCACCAGAAGCTCAGCCAGGACACCCGTCGGAGACTCTGGAGGAACGCACACGCGAGCAGAGGCACTGTGCTGACCATGATCCACGAGCTGAGGTCCAGAGGGCTATCCGGGAAGCTTCCGACAATCAGATCTCCGCATAGCAGAACGTACAGGATACACGTCATCAACAGCTCAATGATCTGGGCACAGTTGACGAGACGGGCGCCATAGCGGGCGCCCCACACGTGCTTGGCGATGTCCACGTAGCTGTGTCGCACCCGCACACGTCGACCCTGTTCGTCTTCTTCGTACAAGCAGTTGACGAGGATCTTGCCTGTGTGGCAGCAGATGTATGCTATCACAACCATGGCAACCAGCGCCCAGTACCCACCCTGCAGTACGGCATAGGGGAAACTCACGATGAACATGCCCTGTAATAGGAAACAGAGTGTATATAATACATTATTACATTCACATATTATATCTGTATTTTCATTGGTTGATAAGGGTCATATGACCTTCCTTAAAGTGAGTGGGTGAGTGAGTATGGTTTTACGCCGCTTTTAGCAATATTCCAGCAATATCACGGCGGGGGACACCAGAAATGGGCTTCACACATTGTACCCATGTCGGGAATCGAACCCGGGTCTTCGGCGTGACGAGCGAACGCTTAAGCCACCAGGCTACCCGACCGCCCCCCTTCCTTAAAACACGGTATTGCCCTGAGACCCACACTGACGCCCAACGAGCAAAAGAGTAATTTAACCAATGGACTCAAAGGAGATATGTTTTCAGCCAATCAGGGAGAGCGTAACACAAGGCTTGTTATGCCTCATCTCCTGTGATTTCCCGTATAATCTGATTGTTGAATTTGAAATATTCTTGTTTTTAAATTATGTAATAAAACAATTATTGACCTCAATTCGGGAAATATAACATTTAATGGACCCAATAAACTGATATTGATTTCGGCTGTTGGGCCGATAAAACAAGGTATTGCCCTCAAGAATGGTCAATAATTGATAAATATATAGAAAATGCGACGAGATGACCTTACAATGAACGACTGTGATGCTTTGCTAATATGGTGTACATAGCTTTGAGACACATTTACACCTAAAATTCGTTTGTTTGTTGTTAAACGCCGCGCTCAGCAATATTCCAGCTATATGACGGCGGCCGTAAATAATCGAGTCTGGACCAGACAATCCATAATTGACATCATGAGCATCGATCTACACAATTGGGATACGATTACCTGCATTCACCAAGTAAACGAGCCTGGCCATCCTTCCCGTTAGTCGCCTTCCATGACAAGCATAGTTGCCTCTAACGACAAGGCCCTCGCTCTTATTCCCCACATGAGTACAATGTGAAGCCACTTTCTAGTGTCCCCCGCCGTGATACTGATGGAATATTGCTAAAAGCGGCGTAAAATCATACTCACTCACCTTTCAGTTGTAATACTGTACACATTGGTAGGTAAGACATGCACATTTCTTATGATATTATTTGATTATTTGATTATTTAATTGCTATGACATATTACCCTCTCCTCCATACTACTCGAATATATCGGTAACTGAAACACAGAATAATGGCAATATTGCAACATGCGCGTTATCGGTAGGAACGAAAAAACGCTGAGCAGGCACCGGATAAATCATCTCCGCAGAAAAATGAAATAGGATTGTTTGCGCGCATCAACATGAATGAGGTATGATATGTGAAGTGGCATGTTAACCATATCTTGCAGCCGAGCCAAATATACAAAATTGTGAGTAAACAAGTGCGAGTCTATTCTTCAAAAGTAATTTAAGGCCTGTTCCAAAGTATTCCTGTTTCTCGTGACTCTACTTTCAGATATACTGGTAAAGGTGGGAGGATTATATTTTATTAAGTTTTATTTCTAAAGTAGGTAAACAATTTTGAAAAGTAATCGTTATTCCTATGTGAACTCTTTTGGTCTCGTCCCTTGCGGCTCCAAGTGTCCACGGGCATGGTTACTACGACTAGACTCCCCTGCTATTCCTCCACATTGAACACAAGTTCAAGGTGAACACAGATCAAGAACAGACTATAAAATCCCCAGCCCTAATCCCCCTATAGTGCAAATATGAAATCTGAGTTTCAAAAGTATCTTAACAGTGCCACATAAATATTAAAAACATGTTATGGGAGGGAGCAATTTTAGAGGCACCCGTGAAGATTCGGGGTAGAAAAGGTCTTCGGCAATCCATGCTTGCCGTAAAAGGCGACTGTGCTTGACGTAAGAGGCGACTAACGGGATCGGGTGGTCAGGTTCGCTGACTTGATTGATGCATGTCATCGTATCCCAATGGCACGGATCGATGTTCATGACGTCAATCACTGGATTGACTGGTCCAGACTCGATTATGTACAGACCGCCGTCATGTAGCTACAATATTGCTGAGTGCGGCGTAAAACAGCAAATAAACAAACAATTTTAGAGGCGAACGGGTCATAAGAAACAAAAAATTCTTAACGTTATGTATACTTTTTTTCATTATTGATGTGTGAGCGTCTGTGTTGTAAAGCATGTAGTTTTGTTGCTGGGGATCCTGGAGATGTCGGGGATGTCGTGCTGAACCTACCTGAATGGCGTTTGTGACGTTCCAACCCGCCTGCCACTCGGAGATCTTGTTGCGCGGGTGGGAGGATACCTCCACCTCGTCCGCCTGCTCCATATCATCCTCTCCCCCCTCCCTGCTGTATCCCCTCCCCAGGGACGCCAGATTGTGACCGGTCCCGTTCTCCAACACCGACATCTCTCGCTCCGACTCGGAACACTTGGCGAAGTTGACTGTCTCCTCGGTCGTCCGCGCGCGTCGGGGAAGGAGTGAGCGAGCAGACTGCACGAGACCCAGCGTCCGGTTCCGCCATCCTCCGGACTCCATACTCCCCCCGCCCCTCTCCGCACCCGTCAACGTGTTCAACGACACCAACTTCATGCTGTACTTCTGCAAGACAGAAACAGACCGTCTACATTTATATTGACAAATGAGTGAGTGAGGGTGTTGTATTTAACGCCGCTTTGAACAGTATTCCAGTCACATCACGGCGTGTCAGCTGACGTGGGAGGAAGAAAGTCCGCAGTGATGCAGGTCTCAGACATTTACCACTTTGGTCAAGCCCACGAGCACGGGTAAGGTGCTGAAAACCCCAGAAAGATAATCGTGGCGAACCGGGATTCGAATCCACGATCATAGGTTTCTGGCTTGTCCAAGAGACCCGAGTCCACACAGCAAATTGGGCGCCTTAGACGCCTTATTGAAAAATGGAGTTACGACATACGATATGATACCAAACTCAAGAAGCAATACAGTTTTAAAGAGAAGGATGGCGTGAAGTGTGGACGCGTGCAAGGTGAATGTAAATAATCCGAGAAGTTTTATTTCTGTTTAACTCATCAATTGAGTTCCTTATATTATTGTTACACGTTTACACTCGTAGACTTGCTTAATCTTTCTAGATTTGAATCGGGCTCCTTTGATAACTTATTCCCTAGGGTCTGGGAGACAGAAAACGTCGTCATGCACTATTTGGGTTATTTCATGTAATTTTTGTAGATGGGTTGATGAGTTTCCGGTTTAGGTCCAGACACTTCCGGTTAAACGACCTTCACCTCAGCGCATCAAATCTTGGTAGCCCGTGAATGTAATTATTGCTATGCGTGAAATGATGACAGTGAGTAATCACTTGTTAGATTAAGGTAGATCGTAAAACTAGCTGACGAGTTAAAGAGAAACTAGCCTCCAGCTGATTAGCAGTCTCAGCAAGATTGATTGAAATCATTGAAAACAAACCACGTTCATTCAACTTGTATAGTGTATATCAAGCAGTTGCGACTACACTAAAACACAACGGGAAAAAGTCCGCTTCACACAGACAAAGGAAAAGGCCTCTACCCACAACATCTAAACCAGGACTGAGATGGGGACAAGGAGAATAATCATATTTATTAAGATCCGAATTATGATACCCTCCAATGGTTGATATGTTGATTGGCAAAAGATATCTTTCACATAGAGAGGGTACCAGACCCTCCTCCCATGAATCCTGAATCTCATCTAATTTTCACTCGGTCTCATTGCTTTCCCCTGCATCCCGAATACTACTGAACACAAATGTCAAAAGCACTGGGAAAAGGGTGCGATTTGAAGTTGAATTCCTGAAATAACTATCGAATAAATAAATATTTATAACGGATACTTTAGAGTACACCATAAATATGTAATACATGTTGAATCTGCGTATCGAATACGATTTTCTTTCCGTCCCAAGTGCACCAAGTCTAAAAAGACCCCCGAAACCCGCGTACAAAAATGGGGGTGGCAGCCTCATATATGATATGGGCTTAAGAAATAGAAACTGGCTTTGTCTTTTTAATGCATATAGGTATTTGACGTATTGTCTATGTATCTGGAAATGACTGAAAGGAATGAGAAACTGTGTATCCCGTCAGTCTGGTATCCTATTCCATGTGATCGCGCGCCGCAAGAACATCATCCATCATGATGCCAACTGGCTACTCAAGCTGGATATTTGTTGAGACATCACGGGCATCGAGCCAAGAGTCTGGCTGACTGACTGACAAGGCTACATGTACGACATACTTGCTTTATAAATAGTGGTGTCTGGTATAAATGGAACAACAGAAATCATGGTGGCTTTATCGTTAATGATGTTATTTCACTCGAGAATGTCGACATCTCATATTTGACAACAAATTATACTCCTTTGGTTTGTGTGCTGTACGCCTCGTGTTGCGCAATAAACTACGCCTGTGATCTGTCATCATACAGGCTATTATCTGTTTAATGCTAACAATAGATTTTACGGCAAGACAATATGTTGCGACAGGTTTAACCACGAGAGGAAATTGAATACCACTGCTCACATGGCAAAATACTCAGATAACATTTTAAGCAGAAATATGTAAAAATCAAAATGAAATAACTATTGACCAGATGTTTTCACAAAAAACAGTAAACAAAGAAAAGAAAAATGTTTTTATAACTGAAGAAAAAGAATAAAAAGAACATGATCAACTTCGGGTTTCATCTTCCACAGCAAGATGGATGTTCCACATGCTTTGCAACTGCTCTAACCAACAGAGCTTATAACACATGTTATATACCCCCCCCCCCCCCCCAAAAAAAAAAAAAAAAACAACAAAAAAAGAAAAAAGAAAAAAAAAGAAACAAAAAGAAAAGAAAAGAAAAGTGGGGGATATCCGAAAATAACAGATGATTGCAGAAATATAAAGAGGTATCGAGTGATGATAATGGTCGATACGAACATGAAAGGACTAGGTGTAACATGGCAATCAAGAGAACATGTTAGTGGTGTATTGTCAGGGTGCAAACAACCAAGAAAGACGACAGGGGTGTGTAGTGAAAAAATGAACGTTTGAGATGAACTGATCAATAATGGGTCATGCCCTCACGGTTGGTCAAACATTCGTTTATACGGCGTGGCATGGTCTTAATCAATCTCCAAATGATAATTTGAGAGAGTCTTGTCCACTCTTCTTGCAGCGCCTAGCCCAGTTCGATTGACGTAGTGCGTGGCCTTTGACGTCGACGTACACGTCCCCGGTCATGTCCATGACGTGCCCCGTGGGGGAAAGGGCAGGACTCATGGCTAGCCATTACATTCTGTTTTGCTGCTGCTTTAGCCAGGTTTTAACACGCAGCACCAAGCATTATTACAAAACTGTGGTACCGTTATCAGACACACGGGACAACATGGGACCTACCCAGATGCGGTCGACCACGTGTCATTACTAGAGCACAGGACTGATTCATACGGATACGTCACTTACATGAAAGAACCACCACAGCCACCTATACAACTTCGGCATTACCAGGATTGCGTAGGATATCAGCACAGACAGTAAGGAATCGTTTATGCGCTGAAGGTATTCGCGCTAGGCGACCAGTTCGAGGTGTCACCAGTTGACCTGCATCGTCGGCTGCGATGTCAATGGTGTCAAGGTCACAGAGTATCGCCACCACTGCAATGGGCACAAGTTTGGTTTAGTGACGAGTCATGTTCTATGCTTCGCTGTGTGGGTGGTAGACGTCGTGTTTACAGGCGTCGCGGGGAATGTTATGCAAAACTGCGTACAGAAAGTGGGCAGATTTAGTGGTGGTAAGATGATGATGTAGGCAGCAATCTCATACACGGGTAGAACAGACTTTGTGCAAGTTCTGGGGAACAAAGTCTCGCGGATGAGATTCTTCCGCCACACGTCCTTCCCATTATGTAACAAGCGTACGTCATTTTCCAACAAGACAACGCCAGATCTCAGGCGGCAAGACTAACAAGAGCCTTCTTCAGGAACCACAACATCAAGGTACTGCCATGGCTCTCCTGGTCCCCAGATTTGAACCCAATCGAACATTTAGGGGATGCACTAGATCAACGACTGCGGGCACGTCAACATCAACCACAGAACCTCCGACAGTTGGCACAAGAACTACAGGCAGAGTGGTAAACATTAACCAGGCCACAATTCGGGATCTGATTGCTTCCATGGGACAATGATACCAGTCGGTTTTGGACTCCAAATGTGGCCATACAAGATATTGAGAACAGAACACACACATGCTGCAATTGTTTATGAGATGTGAACGAGTGAGTGACAAATGGGACGCAACTCGACGCCTTAAATCATCGGCGCACCGTGTCACCTTCTGACATTCATTAGGTGTACATTTACCGTGTACGAAAGGGCCCTGACCATATTTTACCCTTACTAAATCCCTAATCGTTTCAAGTGACATCGTCGATGTTTTAGATTTATTTAGAATTATACTCATCACAGTGAAACAACTGTCTCCGGTTTTAATTGACTGGTTTGGCATGTATGGCGTTACTAAAATTGACAGATGTGCAGAATAATGATTTTCATAGGCAATGTTTCAAATATGACTGTAACGAGGCCGTGTTTCATTGAATATGATATAAACCGTGTGAATGATGTGTGGCCTACATTATCTTCAGTGTTGTTTAGATCGAATACACTGTGTGAGTGCTGTGTGGCCTACATTATCTTCAATGTTACTTATATCGAATACACTGTGTGAGTGCTGTGTGGCCTACATTATCTTCAGTGTTGCTTATATCGAATACACTGTGTGAGTGCTGTGTGGCCTACATTATCTTAAATGTTACTTACATCGAATACACTGTATGAGTGCTGTGTGGCCTACATTATCTTCAGTGTTGTTTAGATCGAATACACTGTTTGAGTGCTGTGTGGCCTACATTATCTTAAATGTTACTTATATCGAATACACTGTGTGAGTGCTGTGTGGCCTACATTATCTTCAATGTTACTTACATCGAATACACTGTGTAAGTGCTGTGTGGCCTACATTATCTTAAATGTTACTTATATCGAATACACTGTGTGAGTGCTGTGTGGCCTACATTATCTTAAATGTTACTTATATCGAATACACTGTGTGAGTGCTGTGTGGCCTACATTATCTTAAATGTTACTTATATCGAATACACTGTGTGAGTGCTGTGTGGCCTACATTATCTTCAATGTTACTTACATCGAATACACTGTGTAAGTGCTGTGTGGCCTACATTATCTTAAATGTTACTTATATCGAATACACTGTGTGAATGAGGTGTGAACAATATTATCTTCAGTGTTGCTTATATCGAATACACTGTGTGAATGCTGTGTGGCCTATATTATCTTCAGTGTTACTTATATCGAATACACTGTGTGAATGAGGTGTGAAAAATATCATCTTCAATATTACTTATATCGAATACACTGTGTGAATGAGGTGTGAACAATATTGTCTTCAGTGTTGCTTATATCGAATACACTGTGTGAGTGCTTTGTGGCCCATATTATCTTAAATGTTACTTATATCGAATACACTGTGTGAGTGCTGTGTGGCCTACATTATCTTAAATGTTACTTATATCG